CAATCCCAGGGGGATGAGGATCCCAATCCCAGGGGGATGAGGATCCCAGACCAGGGGGATGAGGATCCCAATCCCGCCCCTGCAGGGGCTGCTCCTCACGGCCCCTTCTCCCTGCTCTGGCTCCAGCCCCAGCACAAACCCGTCCCCTCCTCCCCGGGCTGGGCAGGGGGTGCAAACCATTAACCCCGAACATTCCCCACTCTCCCACCTCCCCCCAGCTCACAACAGCCAAATCTTCCTGGCTGGGGCTGATTTTCACCGAGGGGAGAGAAGGAAAGGGGAGAGGGGGAAGAGGTGGAGGGGAGATGCTCCAGAGCTGCAGAACACAAAACCAGGAGGCAATGACGGCTCAATTCCCCCTCACCACTGAGCCCCAAAGCCAGGAAAACCGAGAGCCTGGGACCCATCCTTTGAACCTTGCTTTGCTTGGAGGGTTCCCTGCTCTGCTCAGGGATCTCCTGCTCCTCACCAAGGCCTGGTGGTCTTTCCCTGGTGCCACAGCCCTGCCCTCCAGTGCCATTGAGCTCCCCAGCCAGGCTCTTTTAACAGCAGATCCAGAGCAAGCTGCTTTTGTAGGGCTGGGTTTGGGAGCTGCTGGAGCTGGGGTTTAATTCCCCCAGGGCACAGCCAGTCCAGTGTTTTGAGACAGGTACACATCAGGTGATGTTTTCTAAAGTAAATCAGGTTAAATGTGTTCTCTAGCATTGGACACACTTCCATCTCCCACCTGTCAGCATGCCTTGCATTCCATGCACAGCCCATTGGGATCCATCCCTTTCCCTGTGAGAAAAACGAGGTAAAAATGATAAAATTTAAAAGTTTAGTAAAGGACAATAGGAGACAAAGACAATAAAGCGAAGTTTATCAGCTGGGTGCTCAGCATTCAGCCACGCCTGTCACCTTGGAGACACCCTTTACATACTTCATCTATTGCATATTCATAAACAATTATGCATATTTAAAGGTTTCCCTGAACTGATTGACACGTTCCAAGAAGTGTTTAGCGTGGCTCCTCCTCGAGTCTGCCTTTTTGGAGCGTGCACATTTCCTGGCTGTGGTTTCAGTCCGTTCTTTTATCACCTCCTGCCTGGGTTCTGGTCCATTCTTTCCACAGCCAGTGAGTGCTGATAGTTGATAAGTGCTGATATCAGTAGCAGGGGTCTCGATACGTTTGTTGGATGTTATCCAGCCAAGCTCACTTACCACAAGCATAACTACATCAGCTTTTTCACTACTATGTCTGAGTTTAGTTAATAGCAGGAATAAAAACTATATAGCAAAGTTACTTTAACATTATACATACAGCATCCATTTTCATATTTGTGAATTATAATATTTCTATTATAATTATAATTATATGTTACAATTATAATTATACATATTATAATACGTGTTTATAGCAGCTGCACCTCCTGTTCCGTGCTGGGGTGAGATAAAGTCACAAACCCTCCCAGGACACCTGGTGGGAGCCCCAGCGTTCCCTTGGCTCCAGCCCTATCACATGTGGACAGCTGGGAGGGCGTTTGCCCATCTGGACACACCCAAACTGTTCCTTGTGGAATATTTGGCTGGTGAGGGATCCAGGGATCAGGGAGCTTTTTCCCTGGAATTGCAGGCCCTGGGAGATGGGAATGGCACAGGACAGCCCCATCTGCATCACCCCCGACTGGGATAAGCCAGTGTGTCCTGGATAAAAGTTCTTGGGTTGGGATGATCCAGCATGTCCTGGATAACAATTCCCAGCTCCAAGATACTCCCATGGGCTCAGCTGCCAAAAAAGTGGGATAAATCAAACTCTTAACACTATTTTTAGTCCTAGAAAACAGCCCTGCTTTATTCACTCCCCAAACTCACCCCTCCCATACACTTCCAAAGCTTTTCACTATTTCTACATTTTAACAAACAAAGAAATTCATGTCCATTGGCTATAAATTACAGAATTGACATTAATTAGCATTCTATCCTCTGTTGGTTATTGATTTGAATTCTTGTGCTGATTAATTCCCATTTTCAGTCGATTGCTTTTTCCCAGCTGGGGAGATTTTCAGTTCAGCTGTGAACTGTCTGTGCCTCTTCTTTATCTCTGGGTTCTGCAGAATGTCCTTGTGCTCTGTAAATCCTGCATTCCTCACATCCAATTCCAGCAAAAACATCTCCCTCTCCCAGGCTTTGTTTATTGAAAAGTATCAAGGTTTGTTCAGCAAAATTCAAAGTTTCAGCGATTTTCCCAAACTGGGCTCCCAAAATAGCAGCTCATGACAAACCTTGCTAAGTGCTGGCTGCAGTGGAACTGTGGCACTGCTTGTGATTAATGAGAGCCATTAATTAGAAAAGTTAATTTAAACAATTAATTAGGAAAGTTATATTTCCAACAGAGAGGCACAGTTTGTAAATGGTTCAGGAAGGGTTGGGTGGGAGCTGGGAAGAGATTTCCTTGTGTTTGATCCCTGTTCCTCCTCCTGCTCTGGAATGGGCCCTCGGGACATTTCCCTGTGTTTTGTCAAGGTTATTTCGTTCCCTTGTTCATATCTCTGAAAAATTCAGCCAAATCATCACAAATCTAAAGCCTTCTAGGGCAAAACTGGTACAAATTCCTTCAACTGCGTGATTCCAAATATTCATTAATGCTGGTACCAACTCCCAGGCTTAATTTGGTTCAATTCCCTGATTTTCAATTAGTTGAGACAAATTTATACATAAGATAAATGTACATTTAACCTAAGAGAAAATTACAATCTTTTCCCAAACCATTATTATTTTCCAGTAAGAAAAGACAAAATCAACTTAGCAAAAAATCAAACTGACAGCACATAAAATAATCTGGTTTATATAATCCCAGTAATATTTAGTTACCCAATAAATTGCCCACAATAAAAACAAATCAACAGTTGGTATTATTAAATTGATAATACAGGCAGTTATTTTGGGGACAGTTAACAGTTTCATTGGTCCCACACAGCTCAAGCAGGTCCTGTAAAAGGGAAAATTCAGGCCAGTTGTTAAAAAGCAGGAAAAATCCATCGAGTGTTGATTCAATTCCCAGTTCCTTTTCTCCTCTGGCAGCTACAGGGTGAAAGTCTGGCATGGGTGACTCTGGTAAAAGTGAAAGGGCAGAGTGACCACCCCAAATCCTGGGATAATCTGGGAGTAATCCCAGTGCTCTCCCCACTTGGGCCAGTCAGAGCTGGAAAGGGGAATGTGCCACCAGTGCCCAAGGAGCCTGTGGAAATCCCATCCTTTCACTCCAGGAATTCTGATTTTCCCTCTTTTCTGCTGCCCTAAGCGAGCAGCCACCCCCCAGGCTGGCCCTCCCTGTGCCAGGTTTATGTCCTGCAGGAATTGCAGCAGCCCTGGCGTGGGTCAGGAGCTGGCAGAGCTCACAGCAGGAGGAGAAGAGTGACCACTGCTCACAGGGCACAGTGACCACTGAGTGACCCTCAGTGCTGCCACCCTCAGTGACCCCCTGGGGTCAGTGTCCAGCTGCCCACGCCCCTCCCTCGGGGTCAGCTGGACTTCGTGCCAGAGGAAACCTCACAGCAGCTCTGGGTCACAGCAGGGACCCCACTGACCACTGCACCCACCCAAGGGACCTCACTGACCACTGCACCCACCCAAGGGACCCCACTGACCACTGCACCCACCCAAGGGACCCCACTGACCACTGCACCCACCCAAGGGACCCCACTGACCACTGCACCCACCCAAGGGACCCCACTGACCACTGACCACTGCACCCACCCAAGGGACCCCACTGACCACTGCACCCACCCAAGGGATCCTGGCACTGCCTGGCCAGCTCACTGGGTTTAGGGGATGAGTTGGGTTTGCTCTGTGTAAGGGATGAGTTGGGTTTGCTCTGTGTAAGGGGTGAGTTGGGTTTGCTCTGTGTAAGGGATGAGTTGGGTTTGCTCTGGGTTTAGGGGATGAGTTGGGTTTGCTCTGTGTAAGGGATGAGTTGGGTTTGCTCTGGGCCTTGCAGAAGCAGCTGTGATGCTCAGGAGGTTCAGGAGGTGCTGGACCCTCGGAGGGTCAGTGTTTCTCTCCCGTTATCCCTCCCTGAGGGGCAGCTGGGCTTTCTCAGGGGGAATCGTCCCGAAGGTCTGGGGCACACCAGGAAACCTCAGTGGCTCTGATGTGCCCAGGCCACACCAAGACTGGAGCAGTGGGGAGAGTGAAGGTCAGGCCAGGACCTCCCCAGCTGCCAGAACTTCTGCCAGGGATTTCTGTCACTTCACCCTTGTCCAATCTTCCAGCTGCCGTTATCCCATGGGAAAACTCTGGATTCTCAGAGTGATCCTGGCAGCAGTAAAATGTTCCAACCAGCCCTGAATCAAGGGTGACCCAGGGTGTTGTTAATGGAATCCTTGGGCTGAATTAAGAGTGAAATGACACCCAATGACTGGGAATATAAATATAAATATAAATATAAATATAAATATAAATATAAATATAAATATAAATATAAATATAAATGTAGATGTAGGATATGGTTTAATGGCGATCTGGTTGCAATGGTGAGCAGGTTTGGATTGTTCTCATCTATAGTAACATGGAAACAAAACAAAAATAACAGGAGGGAGGGAGGGAGGGAGGAAGGGAAGAAAGGAAAAGGAAAGGGAAAGGGGAAAGGAAAAGGAAGAGGAAGAGGAAGAGGAAAAGGAAGAGGAAAAGGGAAAGGGAAAAGGAAAAGGAAAAGAAAGTTCAGCGGCTGAAATTCACCTTTAGGGCTCAGGTGAACATCCAGGAATTCCTGGGCAGAGTTTTACCCTCTCTGATGTAACACCGTGGTCACCCCCAGTCCTCGGGGCTGGGCCCAGAAATGAGTCTGGGGGCACTTTGGGGGCTCTGATGGTTCCTGGCCCTGCTGGGACCCTCTGAGGGGCTGAGCCAGCCCTGCCCCAGCGGGAGTGGGAATGGCCCAGCACCTCCGGGGGTGGGTCTGATAAAAGGCCCTGCCCGGCGGGATAAGGAGCCGAGTCCCGGCGGGATAAGGATCCCAATCCCGCCCCTGCAGGGGCTGCTCCTCACGGCCCCTTCTCCCTGCTCTGGCTCCAGCCCCAGCACAAACCCGTCCCCTCCTCCCCGGGCTGGGCGGAGGGTGCGGAGCGGCCCCGACCATGGCAGCGGCCTTTGGGCTCCTGGCCGTGAGCATCCCGGTCCCTGCCAGGGTCCTGCAGGTGCGGGGGTCCTGCAGGTGCGGGGGTTTTGCTGTAGGTTCGGGGGTGCTGCAGGTGCGGGGGTTTTGCTGCAGGTGCGGGGGTGCTGCAGGTGCGGGGGTTTTGCTGCAGGTGCGGGGGTGCTGCAGGTGCGGGGGTTTTGCTGCAGGTTTGGGGGTTTTGCTGCAGGTTCGGGGGTTTTGCTGTAGCTTTGGGGTTGCTGCAGGTAAGGCCGTGCTTTAGGTGTGGGGGTGCTGTAAATTTCGGGGTGCTGCGAGCACTGGCAGCGTTTCACCTGCCCAAGGTCTCACCCGGGAGCGCCGCTGGGGTTGGGGTGCTGCCAGCGAAGCACTGAGGAAAGGTTTGGGGGGGTGGGACCCCCCAGCCCTCCCTCCCTCCTTCAGCTGTGCTCTGCACCCCAAAACAGGCGCTGTGAGGCGGGGGGGAGCCCTGGGGGACACGGCCGCGGGGTGACGTCCCTGGAGCTGATTTTGGGGTCCGTTTGCAGGTTATTGTCATGTCCGGCCATGAGACCATCCGGGTGCTGGAGGTGGGGGTGGATGGGGACCCCAAAACGGCCGGGGAGGGAGCGGAGGGGTCCCCGGCACAGGGGGGCCCCCCAGGTGTAGAGGACGCTCCCTCCAGCACCCCGAACTCGTCCGGCGGGGACGCGGCAGGTGAGAGACCCCCCCCTCCCCTTCCCGGGATCGCTCCCAGCTCCATCCCCGGGAGCAGAGGGGGTGTCCGGGTTGTGTCACCCGAGCTGCTCCGCGGCCCTGCTGCAGATCCACCCCCACTCCCTCCCGGGAAACTCACGTTTTGGGAAGATCCCACTTTGTTCCGCACTGGTTTCTGGCCAGAGCCCCAAATCCTCCCGCGGGTGTATCCCAAACCCACCTGGACACGCACCTGTCCCATCTCCCATCCCCTCCCCTGCCGGGGGAGGAGGAGGCACCGCACTGGTCCCGCTGTGGCTGACCCAGGTCCCTGCCCCTCCTGCGTCCCCTCCGCGGGCACTGACCCCACCTGAGGACACCTGTGGGAGGTGTTCACTCCCTGGGTGTGCGGAATTTGGGTGCCTCCCTCTCAGCCCCGCCTGTTCCTCCCGCAGGTAAAGCCAAAGCAGCGTCGCCCGCCCCCGTCCCCCCGAGCCAGCCCGGCGTGACCCACCTGGCCGTGCAGGCCACCCCACAGGTAACTGTCCCCAAGGGCTGGGGGGCGAGGGGGGGCCCCTGGGGAGGTGTCCGCAGAGAGGGGGTGGCCAGGTAAGGGGGACCCCTTTAGTCCCCCCACACGGAGGGGTCTCCACAGACCTGGGGGGGAAGGGAGGCCCCAGGTGCCCCTCACCTCCCTATGGAGAAGGGGCTCCAGGTAAGGGGGTACCCCGAGGTAAAGGGGATCCTCCTGCCCCACATCCCCCACAGAGCGGGGTCAGCAGTAAGGGGGGACCCCCCTTTATACCCTCCAGAGACGCATCTCCACAGCCCCCCAGTACCCCCCACTTAACAGAGATCCCCCCATCTCCCCACGGAGAGGGGTTCACAGGTAAGGGGGGCTCCCCCTTTGCCTTCCCCCCCCTCCCCTTCCCGGGATCGCAGCCCCCCAGAGGTTCACCAGGGAGCCCCCCAGGGGTTCACCAGGTAGGGGGGCTCCCCCTTTACCCCCCCAGAGGGATTCACCGGGGAGCTCCCCCTTTGCCCCCTCCCCCAGAGGGGTGTCCCAGGCCGGGCGGGGGGGCCCCGTGGGGGATTCCCTGATGCTGAGCAGGGCGTTGATTTGTGTTTCTCTTTCAAATCTCATTTATCTCCGCAGGTGTTGGCTCAGGAAAGCTTAGCCACAGGTGTGACAGGAGTAATGGTTCCGGCAGGGACAGTTACTCAACCTCTTCTTATCCCCATCAGTATTGCAGGTCAGGTGACAGGCCAGCAGGCGCTGGCCCTGGTGACAATTCCCACAGCAACGCTCGCCGCGCTCCCGGGACTGACGCCGGCGGCACCCGCGGGGGCGATTTTCAAAGCGCCCGTAGCCAATCTCACAGGTAACCGCAGGTAACCGCGCACCTGCCCGGCCACCGGCAGGAACCGGGCTGGAACGGGGACTTGGAGTGAAAAAGGTGCAGATTTGGGGCTGCGGCTGCAGGAAGGCTCTGAAATGGGCTTCAGTTTGGGGCTCCAGCTGTGACACCTGGTGTGAATTTGGGGCTCCAAGTGTGACACCTGGTGTGACTTTAGGGTTCCAGGTGTGACACCTGGTGTGAATTTGGGGCTCCAGGTGTGACACCTGGTGTGAATTTGGGGTTCCAGGTGTGACACCTGGTGTGAATTTGGGGTTCCAGGTGTGACACCTGGTGTGAATTTGGGGTTCCAGGTGTGACACCTGGTGTGAATTTGGGGTTCCAGGTGTGACACCTGGTGTGAATTTGGGGCTCCAGGTGTGACACCTGGTGTGACTTTAGGGTTCCAGGTGTGACACCTGGTGTGAATTTGGGGTTCCAGGTGTGACACCTGGTGTGAATTTGGGGTTCCAGGTGTGACACCTGGTGTGACTTTAGAGTTCCAGGTGTGACACCTGGTGTGACTTTAGGGTTCCAGGTGTGACACCTGGTGTGACTTTAGGGTTCCAGGTGTGGCACCTGGCTGCAGCAGGGGAGGTTGGAGCTCCTTTTGCCCCCTCCCCAACTCATCCTCAGCCCAAATCCAGCCCATCCCATCCATGGGCATCAAGGTGAGGGGTTTCAGTATAAAAGGTGTAGAGTTAGGAATGCAGGTGCAGCACCTGTTCTGAAATGGGCTTGAATTTGGGAGATTTGAGACTAAAAGGTCCAAATTCTGGCCTCCAGGTGTGGTACCTGCCTGAAACAGGTGACCTTGGGGTTCTCCTTGTCCCCTCCTTAATTCATCCTCCCCCAGCTCAGCCCAGTCCAGGTTGTGTTCACCTGCAGGGGTCTGAATTGGGCTTGAATTTGGGGAAGCAGAGTATGAAAGGTGCAGATTTGGGGCTCCAGGTGTGACACCGGGTGCAGATTTGGGGCTCCAGGTGAAGCAGGCGAGGGGGGAGACCTGCAGGTGGGAGAGTGGGGGATGGACCCCCAACTCGTGGGGGCTCTTAGGGCCCGGTGCCGGGTGTGTGCGGGGTCGTTCCGGGTTCCCCGGGTGCTCCCCGGGTGTTCCCCGCTCTGTGCTGCAGCAGCACCGCTTTAGGGGAGGGGCTGGCCGGGGAGGGGACACGGGCGCGGTGTCACCGGTGCCACCCCACTCACGGTGTCTCCGTCTCTCCGCAGCCGCCGCCGTGCTCAGCCCCGCCATCCCGGCCATCCCGGCGGTCCCGGCGCCGCGGCCGCCCCCCCCCGCCCCCGCGGATCACCCCGC